AGTAAAAATGAAAGATGTGTCAATAAAACATTTCTTTTGTTGTATGATAAATACATCGTTTTATTCGTTGCTATGATTTTCTGGTATTGATTTTTTGTTTAAAAAATAAAATAAACGTAGCAGCAAATCACCGGAGAAAAACAACAATTAACATAATGTAATTTGCATCATCAAATTGGTAAATGAACTTGACCATAAAAGTCTATTTCATCATCGAAGGTACTACCCGGTTCTTCATCACCATCAAGCTATAATAAATATAACAAAACTTTTTTTTTTCATAAAGATAGTTTTTTAATGAAATCTACCTCAGTAAGTTCACGTTCTGTAAAAATAAATGGAAGACACATTTTTCGAAATGGTACAAGTAAGATAAGTATAAGTGGGAAAAGAAAAGCAAAATTTGTCATTTTAATTGTAATTAATAAACCGGCAGAAATCACTTGTATAAATGTAAATATATGGCGTTTCATTTGACGAACCTTGAAAGAAAAATGAATGTTTAATATATTGTTTAGATCGAGAAAAAAACAGCAGACTTCATGAGATTTCACGAGTGTTCAAGCACAGAGAGTTAAAATTTTCAAGAAACTTTAAAAGGCTTCGAAAGAATTTGTCCTGCTATTGTCAAAAGGTAAAAATGTAGAATGTAAAAATAACGAGGTGTAGAAAAATCAAGATGTTAATGTCTTGAATAAGACAAATATCGAAAGTAAAATGGTCGAAATGTAGGATGTAGCTGTTGATGTGAATGTCTGAATCTTCTTTTCATCCACATCCGACATCTATATCCACACTCATACTCACATCCGCAACTCATACCCTGCGCACACTCTCACACACTCATACCCTAAAGGGACTAAAAGGAAGCAAGAGAGCTAACAGTCCTCTAATGGACTAACTGGAATTTCTGCTGTTTTTCCTCGATTTAGATCACAAGGATTTTGTAAATACTCGTCTTAAATAACCAAAATTTGGATAATATTTTGTTGGAATAAATGTCATTTTAATTCGACTAAATAATTGTGTACCAGGTATAGATACAATACCAAAATATAAAAATATACCAAATAAAGCAGCAACTGGAATTTTACGAATAATTGGAGCTGCAAATATTGTACAACCAATAAATAAATGCACACCAATATTTGTTAAACGTTGATCTTTTATATCAATTAGACGAGCTTTTTCCCCAGGTGCATGAGTATTGCTATATTTAGATAAACTAGCAACATGAGCAAGACTTCGTACAGGTGCTGCACATATCCAAGGAAGACCAAATAGTCCACTAATTGATATTAATATACCTATAATGAAGAAGAAATAAGAGAAAAATAATTTCAAAGAAGTTAATATACCTGCTATCATTATATCTAAATGATAGCCAGTTCCTTTGATAACTTTTGTTGATTGAACACATTTAAGTTTCGATTG